TATCCTAGACGACATGAGCTTGAGTCAATACTTTCTGCAAAACATCTCTATGAGCGGGTGAACTCATCAACAGAGACAAGATAGAGATCTTTGAAGGAGTCTGATGAAGTTGATCAATAACCTTGTAATCACTCTTCTTGATGATCCTTAGAAACTCAGCATCTTCATCATTGGTAACTGCTTTTTTACCCTTGTCTTTGGCAGGCACTGTGGTAGTGGTGGTAGTTGTTTCCTTAGGCGGAGCCTCATTGAAACGGGGAGTATGAACGCGACCACTGCGAGTCATCCTGCTTGCCCCAACTATGTTTGTCACACTTTCGCTATCAGCCTTAACTTCTTCCCTCAGAATAACCTTCCCAGATTCTTTATCAATCATGGTCACGTCTTATTTCAAGGGTACACCTCTAGGATCACTAAAAGGAAATGGACCCGGCTTCTGAATAATTATTGGCTTCGGATGATCCACCGTAGGCTTTGATATATTGAACACGGGCTTAGCAGCACTTGCCCTGGCAAATTAAACACTAGCACCTTAACCCTCGGTTCTGGCAAGTTCAAGACAGGCTCAATTGCAACAACTTCATCTTTCTTCACCTTGTTGACCACTTGCGGAAAACCATCATTGATCAATTTCTGAATATCATTCTGAACCAATAAACAACCCTTGGCACAGACGTCACAACTTGTACAATCAATATGGGAAGTAGATACTAGACCGACCTCAAACAACTTCGAATGGAGTATCTTGAGATGAGTCTTAATTTGAGCTACATCAAGGATAAGATTTTCATTGGATGAATCATCAATGGTATTAACAGCCCCATGGTTAGGCAAAGGGTTGTTCTTGACATTTGGCTAAGGTTCATCGAAAGACAAAATCTTCTTTTCTATCAAATCTCGAACAATGTTCTTCAGTGCATAACAATTCTACAAATCATGGTCGGGCGCACCCTCATCAAAATAAACTATGAGTGGTGGGGTTGTAATTGCCAGGCAAAGGATTGGGAGGTGGACCCAAAGCTCAGGTAACAATCAGACCTTGTTGCACTAATAAAGGGTACAACTCGGTAAATGTCATTGAAATCGGAGGACAAGGCTTGTACTGCCTCCTATTCTGAGCGTTCTGACGAGGTGCCTGATTCTTTGATTGTTGATAAGCGGGAGCATTGGGCGCCTGTTGATAATTAGGATAAGCTTGTTGATAAACTGGAGGGTGATAAACAGGAGTCGGTTGCACAGGTTGATAAGCGGGAGCTTGTTGGTTAAAGGTAGGTGCAACAGCAGCTACATAAAATTGCTGAGCGTATTGAACCAGATAACCTTGAGGTTAAGTATAATGTTGTGGATGTTGATACTATTGATTTCTTCGCCTATCATAAGATACAACATTGGTCCCGCCCTCCTTCTTCTTCTGAGAGTTGAAGGAAGACTTCTCCGCTTGGTATTTAGAGCTTGAACTACCAGAACTACTTGACATTTTTCCATACTTCAGAGCCAATTCAACTTTAACACCAACAACAACGATGTCAGAGAAATTTGAGGTCGCACTGCCAACCATTATTTTGTAGAACTCTGGTCGTACGGTATCAACGAACCAATCAGCTAATTCTTTCTCGGCCAGAGCAGGTTCTACTTGCGACACAATTTCTCTCCACCTCTGAGCATATTCTTTGAATGATTCCGAACTCCTATGCGACATACTTAGCAATTGTCTTCTATCAGGAGCCAGATACATATTATACTTTTAATTCTTGATGAAAGCATCAGACAAATCCTGAAAAGACCTGATATGAGACTGATCCAAAGTTAGATACCACTTTGAGGAAGCACCCTTTAGACTGTCTTGAAAGCAATGAATCATCAGTTTATCATTCTTAACATGAGCAACCATCCTACGGTAGTACATTACCAGATGTTTCTTTGGACAAATAGTATCTTCATTGTAGTAGAAGTTCGGAGTTTCGAACTTCGGGAGGAATAACCAAACCGGAAACCAAACAGACATCTCTGGAAGCAACACCAAAGATTTGATCACCTTCCATCTTCCTCAATCTTTTATCAATAGTATCAACCTCCTCACGAAGCTTGTCAGGTCGCTCGTATCCCTCATCATTATCATCGAGGATCTCATAAACAGGCTCATTGAGATAAGGTTGCACACGAGTGTGAACGGTAGCTGGTGCAAAAGTAGGAACCACTCGAGGAGCTTCGGAAACCAAAGGAACAACTTGTTGAATCAGTTGAACAATAGGAATAGCTGGTTGAACTGGTTGGATAGTAGGCATAGCAACAGGAGGAGGCACAAAACCAGGTTGAAGACCATATGGAGGTACATTCGCAATCGTCACAGCCAGTGGAGGATCTACAACAGTAGTGGCAATCTCAGAGACAACAGTAGGTTGAGTATTCATCTTTGCATTGATGACTTGTAGCAGCTCCATAATCTGTCCCACCCTTCCTCGAAGGTCTTCGAGTTCATTATTGACACGATCTATCTCTTGAGCTTGTTCTTCCATCCTTTTCTGAGCTTGGGCTCTAGAGTTATATTGATGCAGAGAACTCAGGGTGACGAAACTGGAAGGCGAGAGAACCGAAAATGAATAACCGGGAGACAAATGCAATGCAAATATATGATGCTAATATGCAAAATGCAAATGAAAGATTTCATGGAATTCAAATGTTTACGAATATCGCGGAATGCCAAAGAAACTTTATTAATAAACTTTGAAAATGGATTACAAGTAAATACTCTTGAAAGAAGAGTCTTAATAAAATAGCTAAATAAAAGCTAATAAAGTCCTAAGGAAGCATCGTCCACCACTTCAAAGGGTAGATTGAGATTTAGAGGAAAATAAATCCTTGTAGATTTTTCTCCTCTTGTAGGAAACTAACTCTTCATTCTTCGACTGAAGTTGCTTCTGAAGTTCGGCATTCTCCCTGATGAAAACCTGATATTTATTCTTCCATGCTTCTGCTTCGTGTTGTGCTTTTCTCAAAGCGATTTTCAACTCTTTAGCTTTAGACATGAACACTAGAACAGGTTCCCTTTTCGGAGGCAAGGGATCTTGACGAGGATAAGGCATCTTTAACTTGATTACTCTTTCTCAGACCCAATGAAGATATGGTTCCATGGACACGCAATTAGGTTTTCCCATACTTTTTCTGCCTTTCCTATGCAAATGACGCCAAGCAGACACAATCTTATCTTGAAGCTCTTTGTCATCTTTGAAGAATATTTTCTCCACATGAACACTCTTAGGTGGTTCCTTCAATGGATATCTTAACTGTCGGCGAGCTAAAACCGGATTGTAGTTGATTCCTCCATTAAAACCAAGTAAGGGTATGTTGAAAAAATCTCCACAACCATCAATGGTTAATGTCCCATCATACACCCAGTTGTACCAATCAATGTCCGAGTGAGTTAGGTCTATAATCCTTTGTGACCAGTGTCCTTTATTGAGATCCCAAAAAGGACCGGACTTGGGCAAGTGTGAAATAAACCATTTGTACAATAAAGGCACACAACAGGGGATCATCCCTCCACCATGAAAGTTACGGAGATGCGTGGAATGGTAAGTGTTAGCCAATAAAGTCGGTACAGGACTATTTTTCATGAAGATCTTGATGGAGTTAAGATCAACGAAGCCTTCAAAACTCGGGAAAACTGGCACTCCATAAATAAGCAAGGCGAGAATTGCTTCAAAGGTATTCATGCTCATATGATCGGCATAATATTGGGCTTTCTTGATTAAGAAGGCCTTAGGTAACCCAAAAGTCTCACCTTTGGTAGTCATATTATCCTTGATGTCGGATACCTTCAAGCATATGGCTCTAGCAATGTCTTGTTCCTTAGGGTTCACTTCCAAGAAAGGGAAAGGAGACTCCTCCAGAATAGGTAGACCAACCAGCTGAGAGTATTCTTCTAAGGTAGGAAATAGCTGATAATCCGGGATGTGAAGCAGTGATAATATAGATCATAGAACTGTAACAAAACAGAAAGAATTCTGTCATCCACTTGAAGTCTCAATAAAGATAACAACTTTCCATATTTGTTTCGGAATCCTTCTTGATCTTGAACCAAAGCTCCTAACTTCCTTAGATCGTCCAACTTAAGACCCTTAAAGAATATTTCAAAGTGTTTTTCCTATTGTAATCCATGGTATCCCTGCAATGTTCATAAATAAAGTTTGAATTTCATGAAACTTAATGCAATGTGATGCTTTATGGATGCAATGCATACATACACACGAAAGTCCTAGGTTAGAGGAACAATGAGTGGAGTCAAGGTCTACCCTTCCCAAAAAAGGTATGTACTATTGTCATACCCTAAATTTGTCCTACCTCTTTTTCAAACATTTTTGTTTTTATTTTATTTTATTGAAATTATGAATTGCCCGTTTATTTATTTTTTTGTCATTCAGACACGTATCCATCTGCAAGGGGATGATTTTCCAAAATTTTATCATTTTTGCCCAATAAAGGCGTGACACTTGGGCTAAAGATGTTTTGTGAATATTAATCCTTTTATTTTTCCTACCTTCTCTTTCTAAAAACATTAATAATAATATTATTTCGTATATATTATTTATATTTTTTATGGGTTAATAATATTAATTTTGTTAATATTAGTATTCAACTTAGATTCTATTTTTTTTTGTTTTGTTATTATTTGTATTATTGTTAATAATTTTTATTATATTAATTTAGTATTTAGTTATTATAATTGTTAGTGTTTAGTAATAATTTAGTTAGAGTAAGAAGTAATTAAGAAAAACGGTTGGAGGAAAAGATTAAGAAAAATGGCTGAGAACGATAGAGAGGGAGGGAGAGGCCCATTATGGATGGCCCACGCAGGCTATAAGGAAGAAGAGAAACCCGGGTCCTGTTCATCATCATCACCAAGAAGAGCAAACCCTAAAAATCAATTATTGTTCATCTCCATCCCCCAGTAAAACCAAAAACGGGGCCGCCCCAATTCAAATCCTGAAACCCAAAGCAAAATGGCCGCCACCACAAATCCTTTTTCTCTTCACCTTCCTATTATCATCTCCAATCTCCTCTCTCCACCATCATTTTTTCCGGCGAAGCAACCACCATCAAAACTGTTCGCCGCCAGCTTTTCTTCTTTCCATCATCCACGAATCGTCATCACCACGACCAACCCTTTTCTCCTTTCTATCGTCCTTCAATCCAATCTTTATTCTCCCTCTCTACTCCTTCAAACCTTGTTTCCGCCGCCGAAACCTTCATCCAAACCTTTCTTCTCCTCCGACCCTCTCTCTCACCGTCTTTCATCACCTTCTTCAACTCTTCATCATCTCGACCACACCTTTTCTCCTTCACAAAAGTATTCTCCGCCACCATCTTATGATGGATCCGCCCAACAACCACAACAATCTGTTCACCATATAAATCAATGAGGCAACACTACAACAGTAATGCGACAACAGTTCGGTTTCGATTAAGATGTTCGACTCGCTCTTGCATTTCAAAGACAACGATTAAAGCTCCGACAATCTCACGGTAGCTCTTGCTATTTGACAACAGCAACACGACATCTCCGGCTTTTGCGTGAATTCCCTTAGCAGCACGACAACATCATAGGCTTTAATCTGTGGCAATATAACCATGTTCGCCGACATCGCAATAATGAAATGGTTCTTTTTTACCTTTGTGTCGTACTGTTGTGTGTTTGTTTTCATCGATTCAAATTTGTGGCAGTATTAGTATTTCTGGCAGATTGTGATTTGATTTTGTGGAACTATTGTTTATTGTCTATGGTTCTGCTTCATTTGTTTAATGTATGTGCTACTGCAGTTATGGTTATCAATGGTCACAGCTTTGCAGTGATAATAATTTGTGGCTGCTGTATGGGTTTGTACCAGTAGTTCACCTCTGACAATGTTTATTATTCGAACCATTCCGCCACAGTAAGAGGAATACATGACATTCACTTTAAAACCATGGATGATATGAATGATGCAGTCAAAGATATTAAATGGTGGGCAAGCCGAAAGAGGAGTGGATGAGCTCAGCCAGTTCATGCTGAAACTGCTGAAACAAAGTTTTAGTCGGCGTTTGGGTAATCATTTTCGTTACGATATCAATCATACGGACTCTTTTTATCATTCATATGGATTATTGTTGTGTAGTTTTTATGAGTTTTGGGGATGCTGAACTGTTTAATGTACGTATGCGTGCGACATTTGGGGATTGAAATCATTTTATGCGGTTTTGCTTGGTGCGAATAGAAAACGTAAATGGAGGATTGGGAATGGCCTTTGTGGTTTGTCAGAAGTTAGCATGGAATTTTTTTTTAATTAATGATTGAAAACATTAAAATAATACATACTCAATTTTATGAAAGTGCCACAAATACTGTAAATAGTTTAATTAAAACATTGTAAATATTTTTGTATATTTAACTTTGTTAATCTTAATTAATTTGGTTAATTAAATTAAAACCTTTTATTTGTTTAAGATTATTTACATATAATAAGTTTCTAATCAATTTCTTTTTTATTAAGATTTAAAATACCTTCTTGACTTTCTTTATTAGATTCTGATTTAAGAGTTACTTGATATCTTGTGGGTTCAACTTATTTAATTTATTAATTTCTCACCCATTCCATAACAATGTATCCCAACTCCCTCAAATGGAATAATTTTTTTTATAGCTTTTTCCTTAATCATGTTTAATACTTTAAACCCTTTTCAAAATAATTCTCGATTTATCGAGTCATTTTCACCCGTTTAAGTCGAGTGCTTTCAAAGCCTTGCCATTAACCTTTGATCACCATACACAATATTTTAAAGCTTAATCTTGGGCTTCCTTACAATGATACATATTTGATCAATTATTTTGAGTTGGTCACTTAGAAGACTAGCCCACGTTGCTAGTGCACACGTTTAAAACTCAATTTCAAACCTAGACTCACCTCGAGTACTTTTTTCAAAAAAAAAATTAAATTCTTGAAGTCTATCACTTCTTGCGTTTTTGGACGATCATTGTTGAGGCGTACGCTTTAAATAATGTATCGTTCGACTTTTCGTTTTTTAAATACACTCTTTTGGACAAAGAAATATCATCAGAATCTAGCATACCATGTGACATTTCCGTTTTTCATCCAAACATTTTCCAAATGAAACAGGTGTCATTGAGAACTAGCATCTCGATAATACCCTGATGTCGCAACTCCGAAAAACAACCGACGGAAAAAATTGAAGAGTCGCCACTTTCGTTATTTATCCCAAAGAGAGGGAAAGGAAACTATCGCAAAAACCTAAAGAAAAAGGGAAAGACAAGGTCATCGCAACCATGTCTGAATTCGGGAGTCGGTTACACAAGGGGAAGGTATTAACACCCCTTACGTCCGTCGTACTCGATGGGATCCACGCATTGTTGTCTATCTAACAGGGTGTGTTGAAACTATCTATCTAAAGGCTTAAGGACAAAAGAAAAAGAAAAGAGAAACTGACTCGGCAGAGCATCACCGTTCTGTGCCTACGTACACCCTCGTGCAATGGGAAAGTCAGAGTCAACGTAGTTCGCCTAACTACGGCTAAAGAAAGGGGGAAGGTTGCTCGCTGAGACATCGCGTTTCGTACCTACGTACTTTCGTCTGGTACGAAAGATCAGAGCAAACGTAGTTCGGGCTAAAAGGACCACAGGTTGGTTCAACAGTTTTTTAGGCCCGAGTAGGGTTAACAAATAGTTCTAGCAGTTGGTGTATGCAGCTCGACCATTGGAGACTTAGGCATTACCGTTTGTGGTAGAACTAAGAGTTAACGACACTCTTTTTATGAAAAGATTTTCCTGATTAAGAATCCCAAAGGATGAAAAGAGTTTAAATTGTTTTTGTGTTTTTTATAGAAGAAGTGTTTTGAACTTGATTTACAACTCATGTCGCACTAGAGACTATGACCTAAGAGCGAATGCGTCATATATCACCCAAAGGGTGTACACTAAACACTCTAGGTCCTTGAGAGGAGTGTTGCACCCCAAAATTTGACCAACCGGTTCCCATATCTAGTTTATGTTTCGATGCATTTTGCATTCGCATTCGCATACTGCATGCATTGCACTTTCTCAGTCAGATTGATTTTATCGGGATTACAGCCCCTGGCGTTTCAGGCAGTTCAGGCCGGTTCGAATAAGTGTATTTTGAGAATTTGTGCTCGTCCCAGTATTTCCAGATTGCGCTGTTGTTTTTAAGGACATTTCGGTGTCCGGCTTTTACCGTCTATTTCGTTATGGTTGCGTAATTGTTCTCTAATCGATTTAATCGGCTTCCTGGTTTTTCTAAAATTTTCTCTTTTATTTTCTAGATTTTTGATGCATTTTAATAGATTTTTAATAGATTTACTTGAGTCTGTAGATATTAAATAGGTATATTTTTTTTAATAGAATTTAATAGATTTTTTTTATAGATATTTTCTTATAGAATTAAATAGGTTTTTCTAGATTTTTTAAATAGATATTCTCTTTTTTAAATAGTTTTAATAGATTTTTAGCATATTGGATATTAGTTCTTTTATTATTAAATAGAATAGTTTTTTAATATAGATTTTAAATAGTCTTTTTAGTTTTTTTTAAATAGTTTTTGATATGGTTTTAAAAAAAGAGTATAATAATGTTAGATTTTAGTTTTAATAAATAGTGATAAAGATTTTTGATATAGAATTTTAATAGGTTTATTATTTTTCTAGGTTTTAAATAGAATTTTAAATAGTTTTTAATACATATTAATAGATTAATAGAATTTAGATAGATTTTATTTTTTAGGTTTATATAGATATTAATTAGATAGACATTAATTAGATTAGGGTTTAGTTTTAATTATGATTTATTTTGGTTTAATCATTAGCTTATTAGTCAGCTTTTATTAATTAGATTAGTTAATTGTGTAGTTAATTAGGGCTTTATTCTTTTTGTTTTATTAGCAGTTTAATTAGCATTTTCGTTTTCTGTTAATTGTTGATTAATTAGTGTCATTTTCCATTAAGTCCATTAATTACGTTAATTCATTAAGTCCAGTATTAATTCACATTTAATCTGAGTCATTAAGGTCTAAGTGGGCCATTATCCAATTCAAAGCCCAGTTTAAAGTCCAACTTCCGCCAGGTGTCCCATATATAAGCCTGCAACGCGTTCCATTTCTGGCTCTTCCACCTCACAATTTTCTGACACCTCATTTTCCACTTAGTTCCCACTTCCTTTCTCTCTCCTCCACCACCAAGCCACGTGTCCCACTCAGTCTCTCCCATCGCTGCATGCGTGCCAACTGTATTCCACTAACTGACCCCCACCGCCGGCCATGCAGCCGCCGCCAGAGACGCCCTAACCATCGCCGGAGACGCCTTCCACCGTCACAACTGTCGCCGAAATCCTCAAACCCATCGGAAACTGCGTTTTTCCAGAATCACCAAGAATCTCTCCCAATCTTCTTCATCAATCTTCGCCGGAAAACTCCTCCTCGCTGGAATCTTCATCAGAATTCATCCACGTTCTTCAGTTCTTCATCAAGATTCATTAACGATTCGCCTAGATCCTCATTCCAGTATCAATCTTCCATCGTCATCGTTCATCAATATTGTTGTTCGTCTGCATTTTTTTCCAGAACACCTTCAGGTGCTCAAGAACCTTCATCTCCTTAACCTCCATATTCCAGAATTTCTCCAGAAATTGCAAGGACTTTAACGACCAAGAACGCCATTAGTTCCTTCACCTTTTGAGATCTTCGCGGATCTTCGTCATAAGGACGATAGCGTCGTCGTAGATCTCTGAATCTTCAACAAAGACTATTCCAGTTCTTCGTAAGCTTCGCCAAGCTTCGTCTCAAATCTCCAGAAGCTTCATCGCCTTCATCAGGTTCTTACTTCGAACTTATTAGCTTAGTAGTTGTTGTTGTTAGCTGAAGAACTTTGTTAGTTTGAATATTAGAGTGTGGGCAAGATTAGGTTATAGAAAATGATTTGAATTGAGGGATCGAAACGGGTTTAGGTTATGGTGGTTGTTGATGAACAAGGTTGGTGAAGGGTTTGTGAGACAGAGAGAGGATGCGAGAGAGAGTGAGACGGCGAGGGTTAGGGATGAACAGTAGAGGAGGGGAAAGTGAGATAGAGTTAGGGTTTTGTTACTGAAGGTTGGATTGATGTTAGACTCGGGCGTTAGGCCCATTGTGTTTGTGCTGATCATCTCCCCGCTTTCCCCATGGCACCCCCTCTCAATGTGAATTTTGTTTTGGGCCATAGGCAAGATTTGATAACTACACCCCCAAATTAAAGGCCCACTGAGAAAACAAGGCGAAATAGTTGCTATTCGCCACCAGTTTTTTTTTCATTTTTCTTGTTTTTTTCCATTTGTTTTCTGATTGGGTCGGGCTTAGAGCACGCTTGATAAGCACACCCCCCTTGAGCC